ATTTTTTAAAAAAGCATCCCCTTATGTTCCTGACAAACCTTTTTGGTTGTCCCCTGCTCTATTAGCTTCTGGATCAGTCTTGTCACTTGAGTAAGAGCCCAATTCTGGTCACAGTTATATACTTGCCTGTGCATTTATCTTCTGGTTTTCTTTCCTACTTGATGTTGAGCTTTTTTTAAAACATTTATATTATGTCACTTTTTAGCTCATATATGTCATGGGTCCTATTCTGCAAACGGCAGACCTGTATACGGGAAGGCATACTGTATTATATTTGAACCATGCCTAGTCTAGACGCCATCAAAGAGAAGAGGCCTAAAGGGTCACCCTGTTATGAGTTGAAAGGAGTGATACTGATAATGTAAACCTCACTGATGCACCCCTTCTTTCAGGAGTTCTCCAGTAAAATAAAATTTTGATGGGCTGCTAGAAGTCATGGTGAATTTCCTGCCACATTGTAATCTGTCCAGCTAGGCCATTTGTAACCCTTCCATCAGGGATTTCTTAGCAAAGCTCTAGGAAAAAATAGGAAGGAAGGCACTTCAGACCATTCTATCCAGCAAAATAGAATTTAACAAACCTTGTGAACATTCTGGAAATACAGGAAATAGCCATGCAACAGTGCAACTCTGCACTTGGATAAGGTTTTCAGAAATTCGCTGTGAAAAGTGGAATGCAAGAAAAACACAAGAAAGCAACAATCCTAGACAAAGTATTCAAGATAAGACTAGTTAAACTAGTTACACATTACCTGCTTGAGTAAAATGTTGGGTTTTAATGTTCTGAGTTCACTGCCAAAAGGACAGTCTGAGAGACATTATCTGGGCCTTTCGATTGCTTCTTGTTCTTTTCTCCTGATAAGCACATCCTTCACAGGACAAGTGAAATAACCATCTTCCTCTTTGGGAAGACTGACTGCAAATGCTCCCTAATACAACTCAGAAAATTAGCTGGTGGCTGAATCCAGTCTTAACTATCCCGTGGTTGAATCAAAGGAATTGATTAATTTTCACCTGTTATGTCAGTGTATAAAAAGGGAGGGGGGCTCCGCTGCGGCCTAGGTTTGCTGCTTTGTGTGGGCGGGGCCTGGAGCCCGCCTTTTTTCCTGTT